CGGGGCCTCGCCAAGAGATTGGCGAGGAGGGTATACCCTGGAAGGCGCAGCCGACACGGGGAGTGGGATAATTCAGCAAATGAAACCTACTAAAAAACGAATCGTACATGAAAAGATGGATATAGAGAAGGAGGACTCAGAGGCATCCAACAAGGAGGTGACGGAGAAGGTTCGCTCGTCGAAGGAGCAACTTGGTCAGCCGAAACATATTGAGGATCTGTCTCAAGACTTGGATACGAAGGTTCATAAGGAGGGCAAGATACTGGCGACTCCGATTGTCCGTGTGGAAAGGCAGGCTCTGGGACAGGGAGCGGGCGGATCGGGGGGTAGTATTAGTCAGCCCTCTACCTCATCGTTCTTCAGGAAACCGGGCCCAAAATCTTACAAGGGTAGAACAAGGGGGAGTCAAAGCAGGGACTCCTCTGTGGAAACGGAAACATTCGAGATCAGCTCGTCTGATAGTGATGTTTCTGAATACAGAAGGAAGAAGGGAAGGAGTACTACCATCGAGGATGATTCTGACGAGTCACCGCCGGAAAAAGTCAATATCGGTAGCAAGGGTCCACAGAGAATTCCTGGAAGCAGGAAGAGAGAAAGGACAACTTCGGATGCGGATTCTGATCGCAGGAAAAGTTGGACAACGGGAGAATACGTCGGGCGAAGAGAGGCAATTCTTCGGTATAATGAGGCCAAGGAAGAATCCCTGAATTTAGATAGGGAGAAATTGGTCCGCGAGTATGGTGATGCTGATCTTTTCAAAAAAGCGAGGATTGATATGGCTAAAGTGAAGGAATCGCTGGAGGAGAAATCAATCGAGGAACTGATGAAGCAAGCCAATGATAATTGTGCTGAAGTCCTTCGAATAGCGAGGTCTTCCAGTAACCTTAAGGGGACGTTTCAGAAAAGCCTTAAGGTAGCAGCGGCAACGTCTCTGGGGATAGTAGACATTCTTAAGGAAAAAACAACTTTATCTAAGGAGGAGGCGAAATCTTTAGAGATAAGATCGCTTAGAAAAGAGATCTCTAGATTGAAACTTAAGATGGAAGACGAGATTGAGAAAGAAAGAAGAAAGGCTCTGCAGGCGGCTGGAGAAGCCGAGGCCTACCGATCGGAATTGCAGGCCATCAAGGACAATCTGGTTAAGAGGAAGGATAAGACTCCTAGTCCTAAAAGTAAGGATAAAGATCAATACAGGGGGAAATCATCCCTGAAGTCCTCGCCGGAAACCTCGAAGAAGTCTACATCTAGGAGAACTCCTTCTGAGAATATTAAAGCAAGGGATAAATTAATCACCTCTGAGTCTGAAGGCATGGAAGTTGATGAATCATCTCCGAGGTTAAAGAAAGTCACTTTGGATGACCCGAAGAAATGGCCGGAGGTAAGGAGACCTACCTTAAGTGGGAAACAGAAAATTATCGAGGAAGATCCGACGTCTCAAAGAGCAATATATGAGGCGCATATAAAATATATGTCTGATTCGCATAAGGAAAGCGGGGAAAAATATCAACCCAATAAGGAAGGAAATGAAGAAGCTCTTAAGAATAGGAAAAGTATCTCCGTATAGTCCAGCATGGACTATATGGAATTGGCAAACATGATTAGAGATATCATGGTGAAAGAATTGGATAGATTCCATAGCAAAAAACCGAGAATAACTGAGATCCAAACTTTTAAGGAACCATTAATCTCGGTTAAAGAAGGAGGGAAGCTTATTAGCAAAAATAAACAAGTAAGGATAGATCAAATAAGTAATAAAAGTAGTTTCAAGGAGACTCCGAGGAAGGAAACTAAAAAAGATAGGAAGAGTACTCTTACCACGGAAGAGGATACGGACTGGGAGAAGAGAGAACTCCCATGGAGTAAGGTGGTAGGGAGAAAGGAGAGGAAAGCTATGAACATGGGAAAATCGCCCAGTTCCGGAGTAAAAAACTCTACGTTGTCATCCACTCCGACTAAAAACAAGAAGGCAGTATTCTCTGAAGATGTTAAGTATAGAAGAGCACCGAAAACAGCCGCTATACAGATCAGCTGCAGGGGGGAAGCTACATACGCGGATGTTATGCGGCTGGCTAAGGAAAAGGTGGATATTGATGCCATGGGAATATCCGATGTGAGGCCGAGGAAATCCAGATCAGGGGCGCTTCTCCTGGAGATTCCTGGTGCGGAAGGAGGAAATAAGGCGGACAAACTCGCGGAAAAGCTAAAGACAGCTCTAGCGGGACAGGAAGACGTATTGGTTACTAGGCCGGAGAAAATGGCGGAATTTAGGATCAAGGACCTAGAAGAGTCCACCACTAAGGAGAAGATCCTTATGACCCTAACCCTATTAGGGAGTTGTCAAGTAGGGGCATTTAAAATGGGGGAAATAATTCCTTCATTTAATGGATTGGGAACGCTATGGGTTCGTTGTCCAATAGCCATTGCTAAAAATATTACGAAGAACAAACGGATCAGAATCGGCTGGACAACCGTGAGAGTGGATCTGTTACCTGAAAGGATCATGCTGTGTCACAGGTGTCTGGAACCTGGACACATAAAAAAGCAGTGTAGCAGCGAAACGGACAGGAGTGCTCTGTGTTATAGGTGTGGTCTTTCTGGGCACATAGCGAAAGGGTGCGCGGAGCAGGTATTTTGTCCAGTCTGTGCAGCAAAAAATGTGAAAGCTAATCATAGAATGGGCGGGCCGGCGTGTAAGCCTCCGGTAACAAAGAAAAAGACTAATAGAGAGGGTCCAATCAGTAGGGACACTCCTCAAAGTCAGAATAAAAAATCGGAGAATATCAAAATGGATATTGATAAAACAGGTGAGCACCTCCCTGAAAAAGAAAAGGTGAAGGATAGGGAAGGAAGTGTTGTCCGACAACTGGAAAAATGCAGGGTCAGCGAGGCAGCCAAGTCAGATATGGACATGGAAGTTGAGCTGGACGTAGGATCGTTAGATACCCAAAATACTCCAACAGGGACAAAAGAGGAAGATTGGCCGAAATTAGGAGTAGACTGGTCTATTACAGAAGAAGGAGATATGGACAAGAAGGAACAAGGGGGTGGAGGAACCCAATCAAATGTTAAAAATGGTTAATTTGCTCCTTCAAGCAAATATTAATCATGCAAGAGTGGCACATGATCTGCTCATGCAGCTAATGGCAGAAGAGGATTTTTCATTGGCCATAATCTCTGAACCATACTTGGTTCCTAGGGATCATCCTCATTGGGCTGCTAACGATGGAAAATCAGTCGCTATCACATGGAGGCAGACTAATAATGCGCTACCTTGCACCCCATTTAGAAAAGGGGAACATTTCGTTGCTATCCGCTGGGGAGATGCAATCATAGTCGGTACGTACCTTCCTCCGAGTCTCGATCTAGGGGATTTCGAGGAAGCTCTGAACGATATGGAAAGGGAGATTATGTTAATCACTAACAAGCCAATCTTCGTAGGTGGTGATTTTAATTCTAAGTCTGATATGTGGCAGTCTCCGATTAACGACGCACGTGGTAGAGTGGTTGTTGAATGGGCCAGTAGACTGGGTCTAGTCTGCCTCAATAGTGGGGGCAGAAGCACCTGTATAAGGAGTACGGGTGAGTCTATTGTTGACGTCACCTTTGCAAATCCCGTGGCAGCGCGGAGGGTAAGAAGTTGGTCAGTGTCGGACATGGAAAGTCTATCGGATCACAGGCACATAGTGATGGTAATCTCCAATTCAGAATTGCAACAGAGCAGATTGAGAAATCCGCAACAGAGAAGATGGGCGGTGAAAAGAATGAATGAGGATCTTTTCACAGCAGCTATTTTGGCGAGTACTTGGTCAAAACCAGCTCAAGTGGCAGACCTAAACAGTGAGGTAATCGAGGCACAGGCAACGAAGCTTCAACGTACTTTAACCGAGGCTTGCGACACAGCAATGCCAAGGGTTATCCCTAGACCAAGGAAAGCCATGCCGTGGTGGAGCGAGGATCTTCACAGACTAAGATCTGAAGTCACGGCGGCGAGAAGGAGGTTAAGGAGATGCAGAAGACGTTCTACATACACGCAGGATGGTTTCGATACGCTGCTGAGGCTGGGAGAGCTACGACAGGCCAAGAAGGCTTTGGGGATAGAAGTCAGAAGGGCCAAGGCAAAAGCCTGGGATGAATTTGTTTTGACGTTGAATGAAGACCCATGGGGCCGGCCCTACAAGGTTGTAATGGGTAAATTAAGGAGATGGACTCCCCCGTTCACCGAGTCAATGGACGTCGACACCTTGGCGAGGGTGATCACCGGTCTATTTCCGCCTGGTGAATTAGACAATTGGGTAGAGCCTCAACTACCAGTAGAAGGAGATTCCTCCTGGTCTGTTGAATTGGAAGTATCGCACGAGGAGGTACTCCTGGCGGTAAAAAGGATGATGGAAAAATCTGCGGCACCGGGGCCGAGCGGAATTCCAGCTAAAGCTTGGGCTCAGGCAGCAAAATTAATGATGGTGGAAATGAGGAAGTTGTTTACAGAATGCCTCAGGACTGGAATCTTCCCTTGTCTATGGAAGAGGGCTAAACTGGTACTGTTAAGGAAACCAGGGAAGCCAGAAGACCAGGCGGCGGGATACAGACCTATATGTTTGTTGGATGACGAGGCCAAAATCCTGGAAAGGATCATTGCTTCGAGGATAACTGCTCATCTGGATGAAAGGGGTCCTAATTTAAACAATAACCAATTTGGTTTTAGAAAAGGTCGATCCACTATCGATGCCATATCGAGAGCGCGAGAATATATGGAGGACGCCTTTGAGGAGGATAAAGTGGTAGTGGGCACTTCCTTAGACATTAAGAATGCTTTCAATTCCTTACCATGGGAAGTAATAGGAGCTGCATTAACCCGTCATAAGATTCCGTTATATTTACGGAGAATAATTCGTAGCTACCTAGGCAACAGGAGGTTAACTTTCACCAAATCGAATGGCAGACAGGGAGAACAGGAGGTGCAGAGAGGGGTTCCCCAAGGATCAATCCTGGGTCCCCTCTTATGGAACCTTGGATTTAACGAGGTTATGAAGAGGAGAGAACTACGTCCGGATTGTTCGGTACTGTGTTACGCCGATGACACTTTGGTTCTGACCAAAGGTGACGATTGGGAGGAAGCCACTATCGAGGCAGAAATGGCGGTGGATATTATCGTCCAGAGGATCCAGGATATGGGGCTGGAAGCAGCCCCGTTGAAGACAGAAGTGGTCGGATTTAGTGAAAGGAGTAGGCCTGCTGATACGATGATTAGAGTGTCCGGAGTCGAGATCCCCGTGGGCACGAGGATGAAGTACCTCGGATTCACTCTGGACTCAAAGTGGACTTTCGTGCCTCATTTTGAGGGACTGGCACCTAGGCTGGAGAAGGCGGCTCTAATGCTAAGTAGGCTGCTACCGAATCTTGGCGGCCCGAATCGGAAGGCTAGGTATCTGTATGTTAATGTGATTTCATCTATGGCGCTATACGGAGCTCCAATTTGGGCGTACGAGATGCTCAAAAGCGATAGAATTATAAGAACGTTACGTGCGGTTCAGCGTTCGGGCCGGCTGGTGAGGGCTTATAAGACTACCTCCTTTGCCGTCAGCACTGCCTTGGCGGGGGTTCCCCCTTTTGAGTTGGAGGCAGTGTCTAGAGAAGAAATATATGAGAGAATATCCAATATTAGAAGAAACAGGGCAATAAATGTCCCCATCCAGAGGAATGAGGTTGAGTCAGTTAGGGAAGCTGCGAAGAGGAAACTTCTCGGCAAGTGGAGGACATGGATTGACAGTGTTGAAAGAGAAGGAGAGTCTGTATTGGGGGCCATTAAGATACAACTAAGAGAGTGGGTCGATGCGAGGATAGGTCTTCCCTTCCGGACGACGCAGGTCCTCTCGGGGCATGGATGCTTCGGGAGGTTCCTGTGTCGGATCGGGAGGGAGGCTACTAGAAGGTGTTGGCATTGTGACTCGCTAAATGATACGGCGAGACACACATTGGCCTACTGTCCGGCATGGGAGACGGAAAGGGCAGAGCTGAGGAGAGTAATTGGTGCTGATTTATCGCTTAGGGCGGTGATTAGGGCCATGCTGCAGGAAGATAGAAGACATGCGGTCATTGACTTTTGTGAGGTAGTCATGACCAGGAAAGAGGTGGCTGAGAGGGCTAGAGAGAGAGGGGATCCGGTGGACGAATAGGCGAGAACTCACCTAGAGTAAGGTCATGATTGAGACTAGCTCAATCTGACAGAGTAGTTAGAATAGTTTTTTCTTTTCGCGGAAGTGTAGGGTTTAGTTGTGTTCCTGGAGGGAGTTAAGTTTCGAGTGCGTTTGGTTCTTTTTTGGGACGTAATGACCAGTGTTAGGTGGGGCGGCCGAACCGATTATCGGGTCGGCTAGATGTCCGGTCGTCGGGCATCGATTCCACGGGGAGGGGGCTTCTCCATCTTTAACTTAGTTTACCCTCCCCGTGGCCCACGAGTCCTTACTTAAAGGGCAGTCAGGAGGAGACCTATGATGGCACCGGCTAGCGGGGTCATCAGTCTCAATGTAGGTGTAAGCAGGAATGGTACTCGGAGGCCGAGTCGGG